ATGCACGTGGCAAGTTGAAATAATTTGGTTTTGTCAAACCGATGCATTGCATACTGGTCATATAAAGTTTTAAAAATACAAGAAACTAACCTTGTTTATTGGTCGGGTAGCAGAAAACTTGCTTGTCTGCAGCGGCAAATGGCCGACGTACTCATGTGCAGTTAACTCGGGTAGGAAAAAACTTCAGAACACCAGACCGAAACCCCTCGCCACAAAAACAGCTTCTTCCCATCTGCTATTAGACTTGTCAAAAGACGAAAAGGCTCTCACTGACCCCCCACCTGCACACACCCACCCCCCCTGCACTTTCAAAATGTTGTATATTTCTCTGCTATTCTGTAAATGTCCACCCATAGGCATAATTTAATTTATTCAACAACATTTGTATACCTTCATGTACGTTTCTTTCGCTGCACTGTATGCCACAACAAATTTCTCGTAGGTGAAAACCTACCTGGCAATAAAAACTTTCTGATTCTGATTTCTGAAATGTACATTTTTTTTATTCTCCTTTTTTAATTGTTTTCCTGCAGTTGTCACAGTTTTTATAGCAAGCGGTACTCCAGAACTCTGTACCTGGGAGCCAAGGCCATCCAGCTGAACAGCAACAGTGTGCAAGCTCTCCTTCTCAAGGGGGCAGCACTGAGAAACATGGGCCGTGTTCAGGAAGCTATCATCCATTTCAGGGAGGCCATGCGTTTGGCACCATGTCAACTGGACTGCTATGAAGGTACATTTTCAAACAGGCGGTAAGAACGTTCTCTCCTGACTTCTGTTTCATGTTGACTGGCATTCTTTATATATCCAGGCCTTATCGACTGTTACTTGGCATCCAATGGGATTCGAGAAGCCATGGGAATGGCTAACAATATCTATAAGACTCTGGGGGCCAATGCACAGACGCTGACCATCTTAGCCACAGTGTGCCTGGAAGATCCTATGACCCAGGAGAAAGCAAAGTCCCTGCTGGACAAAGCACTGGCCCAGAGACCGGACTACACCAAGGCGGTGGTCAAAAAGGCTGAGCTACTGAGTATGCATCAGTATTGGAAGCTCTACGACATGATTGAGAATTCAAGATCTTTAAAATAATTTAAATGTTTGAAATACACATTTTTAATAAGTTTTTCTGTTTTTTTTTTCAAGGTCGAGAACAGAACAATGAAGACGGAATTGCTTTCCTCTGTGGCCAATCAGAGTGACTGTGTCCTGCACAGAATGCTGGGAGATTTTCTGGTGGCTGTCAATGATTACCAAGAAGCCATGGATCAGTACAGCATAGCTCTGAGGTGAGGTGGAAATGAAAGCATTAATCCCATTAGATGGCAGAATGAAGCTGTACTATACTGCATATCCCATGATGTGAATAAGTCTATAGCTGACATTATGATTAATGTGATTAATCAGATAAAAATTCCAATCATTTGACAGCCCTGGTTATGATAGATAGATATTCACATGACTCTAAACACGATTGCACTTTTTGTCTGTATTTTTGCATTGAGGTTGGCTTCTTTTTAACTGTGTGCTTTTTCCCCAGCTGGAAAATCACAGCGCTATTAGACATTCAAATTGCATACACATAAGTTCGCAGGCTACATGAGCAAGTTTTATGACTATGAAAATTACACAAATTTAGTAAGGAACTGTTTTAAAACAGCTGGAAAATTCGGAGGCTACATGAGCAAGATGTATGACTACATGAAAATGACGATAATTTGCAGCATTAGCTATTCAAACTGCATTCAGACACGATCTCATGCACGTGGCAAGTTGAAATAATTTGGTTTTGTCAAACCGATGCATTGCATACTGGTCATATAAAGTTTTAAAAATACAAGAAACTAACCTTGTTTATTGGTCGGGTAGCAGAAAACTTGCTTGTCTGCAGCGGCAAATGGCCGACGTACTCATGTGCAGTTAACTCGGGTAGGAAAAAACTTCAGAACACCAGACCGAAACCCCTCGCCACAAAAACAGCTTCTTCCCATCTGCTATTAGACTTGTCAAAAGACGAAAAGGCTCTCACTGACCCCCCACCTGCACACACCCACCCCCCCTGCACTTTCAAAATGTTGTATATTTCTCTGCTATTCTGTAAATGTCCACCCATAGGCATAATTTAATTTATTCAACAACATTTGTATACCTTCATGTACGTTTCTTTCGCTGCACTGTATGCCACAACAAATTTCTCGTAGGTGAAAACCTACCTGGCAATAAAAACTTTCTGATTCTGATTTCTGAAATGTACATTTTTTTTATTCTCCTTTTTTAATTGTTTTCCTGCAGTTGTCACAGTTTTTATAGCAAGCGGTACTCCAGAACTCTGTACCTGGGAGCCAAGGCCATCCAGCTGAACAGCAACAGTGTGCAAGCTCTCCTTCTCAAGGGGGCAGCACTGAGAAACATGGGCCGTGTTCAGGAAGCTATCATCCATTTCAGGGAGGCCATGCGTTTGGCACCATGTCAACTGGACTGCTATGAAGGTACATTTTCAAACAGGCGGTAAGAACGTTCTCTCCTGACTTCTGTTTCATGTTGACTGGCATTCTTTATATATCCAGGCCTTATCGACTGTTACTTGGCATCCAATGGGATTCGAGAAGCCATGGGAATGGCTAACAATATCTATAAGACTCTGGGGGCCAATGCACAGACGCTGACCATCTTAGCCACAGTGTGCCTGGAAGATCCTATGACCCAGGAGAAAGCAAAGTCCCTGCTGGACAAAGCACTGGCCCAGAGACCGGACTACACCAAGGCGGTGGTCAAAAAGGCTGAGCTGCTGAGTATGCACCACTATTGGAAGCTCCATGACATGATTGAGACATTCAAGATCTTTTTTTTAAAAAATTATCAAATGTTTAAAATACACATTAAAAAAAAGTTTTTCTGGGTTTTTTTCAAGGCCGAGAACAGAAGTATGAAGAAGGAATTGCTCTCCTCAGGAATGCCCTGGCCAATCTGAGTGACTGTGTCCTGCACAGAATGCTGGGAGATTTTCTGGTGGCTGTCAATGATTACCAAGAAGCCATGGATCAGTACAGCATAGCTCTGAGGTGAGGTGGAAATGAAAGCATTAATCCCATTAGATGGCAGAATGAAGCTGTACTATACTGCATATCCCATGATGTGAATAAGTCTATAGCTGACATTATGATTAATGTGATTAATCAGATAAAAATTCCAATCATTTGACAGCCCTGGTTATGATAGATAGATATTCACATGACTCTAAACACGATTGCACTTTTTGTCTGTATTTTTGCATTGAGGTTGGCTTCTTTTTAACTGTGTGCTTTTTCCCCCCCATATTAAGTCTGGATCCCAATGACCAGAAGTCGTTAGAAGGCATGCAGAAGATGGAGAAAGAAGAGAGTCCCACAGACGCCACCATGGAGCTGGATGGCGATGACATGGAAGGCAGTGGGGAGGATGGAGATCTGGAGGGCAGTGACAGTGAAGCTGCACCGTGGGCCGATCAAGAACAGTGGTTTGGTATGCAGTGACCCCAGGTCACTAAGGGACCCTCGGTCAGTACCACACAGCGCTGCAGCCACCTGGTGGCGTCACACACAGCTACATTAACCATCCTCAGGGACGGCTCGGCGTTGACAGATGAGCCAGTGTTAGCTGCAGAGCCACAGGAAGGAGTAAATGTTTAAAGGGGCAGTGCAACCTCAATGGAGGAGATCAGATGCCGTTTCGTCCCACGTTGCTCTGCTCAGTGCATTTGTTTAGAACAGGGGTTGGGAACCTTTTCAGCAGAGAGAGCCAAAAAACTCACATATTTTAAAATGTATTTCTGTGAGAGCTAAAAAAATGATTAACGTTGTTTAACTATCCAGACATAAAATACTTACCATTAATGCGACTTCTGGTTCTGCCTGGTTTTGATGCGATTGGCTCCAGGGCAAAAAACTTAATGTATAGATTCAAATGTGTAACAGAGTTATAAATATATGGTTCCACTTGCCATACAAAAGAGTTTAATACACACCATGTAAGAAAAACCTTAATTTATGGTACAGTCATTAAATGCAACACCCCTGCTGATTAGTCGTGAACCCTGGGGAGCAACAGTCGGGCTCTGCTGTCCTTATGGTAGGTGCACATGTTAGGAGGTCTGTCATTAATTAATTTGATTATATTAATTTTATGACCTGTTGAAAGATTCTTGCTGTGCGAGGTGTCTTCAGGCAAGGACTGGAAGCAGCCGGTAGATGATCGATTTGTTTAATAACAAAACGCCAGAACAAACAGGTCCATCCATCCATCCATCCATCCATCCATCCATCCATCCATCCATCCATCCATCCATCCATCCATCCATCCATCCATCCATCCATCCATCCATCCATCCATCCATCCATCCATCCATCCATCCATCCATCCATCCATCCATCCATCCATCCATCCATCCATCCATCCATCCATCCATCCATCCATCCATCCATCCATCCATCAATCCATCAATCCATCCATCCATCCATCATCATCAACCGCTTATCCGGGGCCGGGTCGCGGGGCAACAGTCTGAGCAGGGACACCCAGGCTTCCCTCTCCCTCGACACTTCCTCCAGCTCTTCTGGGGGGACCCCA